ATTACAACTACGGCAGTAAACCTCTGTGCTCACTCAGATCAGGAGCCACGGTTTGGATACAACCACTGAAGCCAACAGAGGTGTGGGCGAAGAGAGGAGTGATAGCGCGAGCAACAAACAACCTAGTATGCCGTGGTCAACGAATAATACGGAGAAATAAAGTTCATTTGAGGAAAGCGGAAGAGAATGTTGACAAAGACAAAAAAGAGACGATCCATATACCGTTCAAGAGGAAGTAGAAATCTGTGGACAAGAACCGCAGCAAGGAATACCAACGACGGGTATGACAGCACAATCTCCATTCCGAATACGAAATGGACGAAAATACCAATCAGGATCATAATGAAAACTTTCAACAGAAGAAGGATATGTTGGAAGTCTTGTTTGAATTGATTGTTTGTTTTACTGCATCAATTGTATTTTTATGATTGGTCCGCGTATGACTTTAATTTTACCCGTCGAACAATTTGATTGGTTCAGAGTTATATATAAACGTCTGTCATTTCCTTACCAAATGTGATTCGTGCCCAGTGGAATAGAGAAAATATATCGATAGCGTTTCCTGAAAAGCTGACTATTGATAAGCATTTACTCCAAAACTCACTGCTTACTGATCAACAGCACGGGGTTATCAAGGGTAAATCATAATTATCTAATTTAATGTTCTTTAGTTAAGGTTAGATGAGGGCAAAGCAGTGGAAATCTGTTATTTAGACTTTTTCAAAGCTTTTAATCCCAGTAATCACAGGTTTCTGTTAGTTAAGCTCAAACACAGGGGGATAGGTGGGCAGATAAATAACTGGATCAGGGAATTCCTGACCGGTCGTACTTTTTACGTGAGGATTAGAGACAAAGTATCAACCAAAGCCATACCCACTAGTTGAGTACCACAGGGCTCAGTGCTTGGTCCTTTACTGTTTCTTATTTTTATAGACGACTTGGCTGCCATCGTACGTTCGCCATGCTTCATCTTTGCAAATGATGTCAAGGTCGTGGGATCAGCCAGTCGGCAGCAGTTGCANAAACGGAATGGGCAACAGTATGGAGTGCAGAGAAAAGTAACTTACTTTCCCGTGCTGATGAAAAATTGTCAATCCAACCAGGGGGAAGGGGTTTCACTGCAGGGATTGTAAGAAAAAGCAGAGAATTTGGAATATCGGTGGCAGCGTATTTCCGCTGGGAGAACCAGTGTGTACTGGCTGCAGCGAAGACTTGGAGAGAGCTGTTCAGACCCAAGCCAGTACTATCGTGTAGGAAACCCTACGTATTCCTCCCCCTGTACAAAGCCATAGTGAGGCCACACTTGGAGTACTGCGTGTAGGCTTGGGCACCATTCCCCAAACAGGATGTAGTCTGTTTAGAGAAAGTCCAAACATTAGCCATCCGACTGATTAAAGGTTAAAGGGATAAGTCATACCAACACAGGCTAAAAGACTTGGGACTTTTTTCACTAGAAAGGAGGAGACTAAGGGGAGACTTACTGGAGACCTGTAACATTGTAAAGGAGCCCTAGGGAGTAAGGAAAGAGAGCATGTTCTAGGAGGCCATCTACGAAGGAACTAGAGGAAATGGGAACAAACTACAGGAGCAGCGGT